TCTAAAGACAATTGTTTATTATTTTGTGTAATAATAGAAGCAGAATTTAACAAAGCAGCATCAAAAGAATCAACATTAGAAAGATCATTCATATGGTGTTCTTTATCAGCAGCAGCAGATTTAATCACAGTGTTATACTTAAGATATGCATCAGATAAATCATGTTGATGACATTCATTAGAGTTATCAACCTTAGAACTTTCATCAGGTACTAAGACATTTGAAGTTGAAACTGGAACTTTATTTTTATTGCAAGAAGATTTAACACAAGCAATGTCATTATGAACAGTGATGAAGTGATCACTTGAGCATTCAACATTATTATATGTGGTATTGACATCAAACATTATAGAATTCGACTTCTCTAACATTGCTAATTCTAAAGGTTCTTCTTCTGAATACTGAACTTGTTTAGACATTGCACAATTATCAGAAGGTAAATGTGGAAGTTTGACTTGTGATGAAAGTGAGGGTTGAATGGACATACTAGAAGGTAGCATCAGCCGATATAGCCCTTCTTTAAGATCTCTTCGGAGTAGCACAGTCCTAAAAATTTTGTCCTTCATAACATAGTAGTTAGAATTGAACTCAAAAACCACATTATTATCCATTGTAAATTTTGAAATGCTTAGTAAGTTCTTGGTGATTTTAGGCACGCAGAGGATAATTTTAAGTATAAACATTTGGATTGTAAGACACTAGGTAATGAAGAAAAAACAGTGTGAGAAATGTTTAAGAACTCACAATTTCCTACTTGCAATTGATCTGTACCTTCGTATGGTTTGTTGGCATTCAACTGAGCTGGATGAGAGGCAATGTGGTTTATAGCACCTGAATCCATATACCAGATAGGATTAGTAGTTGTTGTTAAGTTTACAAGGGAAGTTGACATGTATGGGAAGTGTTGTGGAGGGATATTTGGGTATTGTTGCATAGTCATAGCAGGAAACTGTTGGGACTGCATAGCAAAGTGTGCTTGTGAGCCTGGTGGGAACTACTGGATTGCGGCAAAGTGAGCTTGTGATCTAGACGACATCTGTTGGCTTGGGAGACCAATAGGACCAGATGACATCTGCTGGCTTGGAAGATGAATAGGAACAGAGTGTCCTAAGCTTCCATAAGAACCAGGATTAAACTAACCAGAGTGTCCTGAGTGTCCTGAACTTCCATAAGAACCAGGATTAAACTGTGAAGATAAAGAGGAGCCTACATACGGATAAGGACTTGGCCTTGCAAAGTAGGAATTTCCAGTTTGATAGTTTCCATTGTTGAACTGTGACTGAGATGGAAACATTCCTGATTGAAAGCCTCCAGAATAGGCTGAGTCATATCTGTGGTAACATTGGACATCAGTATGTCCTGGTTTATCACACACTTGACATATTGGTCTGCCTCTATTGTTGAATCTACCTCTACCTCTTCTAGAATTGTTAAACAATGCAGGTTTGTAGGCATTCCAAGACATATCAGTTTGAGAATTAGTCAGTTGTATCGAAGCATTATGAGAACTAAATTGAGGTACCAAATTTACAGGGACGGGATAAGTGGAATGCAGTTGTTGACTCTGTAAACTATGTAAATCATTCAATGTAGGTCCATTAAACATTGGAGCATTCTCATGTTTCACAATTGATGTTAACTGATTTCCAGTAGTTGCAGTAGCTATGTTGGCTAAACTGTTTGAGAAGTCCAAGGTATTAAATTTTTCCAGCCTTATTTCATATTTTTGCAGCAAAAACTTTGCTTCTTGCAAGGAGACAGAATCCACTTTAGACTCAATATGTGAAGTTAAATTCAAAACAGTCGCATCATACTCAAGGCCAAGACCATCTAGGACATATTGGAGAAGATCCTCATCTGATATGGACTATCTACTAGCAGATAAACTGTCTGCAATCTCCTTCATTTTCTTGAAGTAACTATTTATGCTTAAGTCCTTATGAGTATTTTGCAACAAATTCTTTAAGTGCAAAGCTCTAGCCTTAGAATCTATTTCAAACTCATTCTCTAGGACAAACCATATTTCACTTGAATGACGACATTTAGAGACGTGGCCAAACATACTTTCTGAAATTGATGCTAACAGCCAACTAACCAAGAATTTATTAGTATGTTTCCAAACAACATAAGCTGGATTAATTTCCTCTGTAACTACATTTTCTTTGTCTATAGTTTCACCAACAATTCCAGAGTTATCTTTCTTGGTACAAATGAGTGGTGGAGGACAAGAAACTGTACCTATCAAGTGGTCTTCCAATGCATGAGCACCCATGGCAAACAGGACTTGCAACCTCCAGAATTGATAGTTGTCAAGAGTGAGCTTAGGGTTAATCACTGGTAGGCTGGATGAGAACATAGGCGAAGCAAAATTACTGGAATTGCTGAAGTTATTCAGCATCTTGTCGGTGTTAATGAACTTAGAAGGATTGAATTTAGCCATTGACGTTTGTCAAAGCTTTGATACCATGTGGAATTTTGAGAGTAAAGGTGTTGAAGCTTAAAGAAAGAATTGGGGAGAAAGAAAGAGAACGAAAATTGTTATTAACAGAACTTTCTATTGACAGAGCTTAAGAATCAAAATACGGCTGACTTCTCTTTATATATGTAGAGAAGTTCAGCTGAAGTTCTACAAATAATAGAGAAGAAAAGGAAACTGGTCGAAACGACACAGTTTTGGTAAAACTGAAACTGGAGTCTAAAACGACAATGTTTTAGACTTGGCCCAGGTTTGTCTTACTGACAGTAGCATTATGCAAAAATAAATAGTTTTTGGTAAATTAATTTTTTTTCTTTTATACTGATGACCAAGGATTCAATAAACCAGGCGTGTTTATATAAAACATGTGCAAATATAAATAGAAGAATATATAAAGATATCTCTAAAAGTCATTACTAATTTTTGGTAAATTTGTCATCGCTAATCATCTATATATAGAAAGTAAAAATATATATTATTTTTATTCTTATTTTGAGCATGATTTTTGGAGTGTATTTTTTTCCCTAAGGGATTTATAAATTAGGAATGATTTTGGTTAGGCGGCAAAGCTTTCCTTTGCTGAAATTTCCTACTGTTGAATTATTTTATTATTATATTTTTGTTCAATTATCTAATAAAATATTCTTAGATTTTAATGTCCTTTATAGTTTGCATTTCAATGCCAAGTTATAACTTGAAGTATCAATTAATTGTAGAGATAAATATGATTGTGCGTGGTAAAATATAGGCAATGTGCATAAAATGTTGTAACTTCGAAGAATATATATTAGAAATAATCTATTTATATAAGATATTGGTACAAAATCTTGTATACAAACTAATATGTAGTAAAAGAAACGGGAAAATGGAAATTAAGAAAATAGATTAAACAAACTAGGATAGAGGATGTAATGATATATTTAATCATATATATTTATGAACCTTGTTAAATAGGGTTGATAAATAATTTCACGTTAAAAATTGAAAATTTTTATCTTTTTAAAGCTTGGCCGCAGGACCATCTAACCGGAGTCCTGATTAAAAAAAAAAAGGCGAATGTTTACACCTTTTCTACACATTGCCGACATCCATACTTTTGAGTGTAAATAAATGACAGCATAAGGTTAATCCATGATCAGTCTGCTTAGTTTGTATCAGCTCGTGAAAAAGGAAAACTAAATAATTAAAAGCTGTAAAGACAAATACAAAAAATATTCAACTCGTTGTGTGATTTAGTCCTGGATGCAACTTGACACTCAATTTGAATAGGAGACTTTAGAAACTATAGAGAGAGTAGGTTGATTTCTTTTTTATGAGGAGTAGTTGAATTCAGGACAAAGAAATGCCAACCACAATTGACAGTAGATTACAGCTTTAAAACAAATATTTGAAGCACTCTATACACGTCCCAACCTATCTATTCTTCCATAACACCGACTAACGTTTTTTGAACAAAAAATCTCTACTGGTCTGAGTTTTTATCTGAGTAAATAAAACTTGTGATTTGTAGTTATATGATAAGAATAAAAACGAGACTAGCAACAGATTATGCTTTTAGGATTCATAATCAAGTCTCAATCACATAAATTTAATTAGTAAAGTTCAAAGGAAAATCTGAAAAATCATTTATCTCTTCAAAGAAGTGAATAATATGTAATATAGGGAGGTGACAATCAACCCTAACAAGACTCCCTATTAAACAAGGAAATATAATTCAAATTAATTAAAAGAAGAAATCTTAACTATTGACTAATTATTAAATAAGAAATGACTCTAAATAAAATGGGAAAAAAACATAGAAAACTTAAACAACCCCAAAACAAGCTAAAACAATATATTTTGGGCCTAAAAACGACCCCCAACCAAGGCACTAGTTGACCACGATATTGAGCTCGAAACGAGTTTTCCGTTGATATCTTACAGGCTCCGTAACCTCTCACAGATCAAAAGTTATGGTAATTTTAAGTTAACATGCCCCATTCACGATATTTGGACCGTGCGTTTGGACTTCTGACGCTCAATCATCTCTAAGAATTTATTTGTTAGACGTTTTCTCCAAGAATTTATCTGTTAGGCATTCTAGTCAAGATCTTAACCATAAATAAATCAAAATGCATATATCTAATCAGATCTTTAAAAGCTCTAGTAAGTAAATTTTCGGACACAAAACTATAGAAGACTCGCGGTAAATATTTCTATTAATGTATTAGAATTGTTCTTGTAGTATAAAACTGATTGCTTCAATTAGGAACTTGTACTAGTTGTAGAATGTGAATGGAGACATTTGTAAAGGCAGTTGGGTTCCCACTATGTATTTTTGTCAACATATTATATATATTATATATATTACTTAAAATATGTAAAATGAGCTTGTCAAAGGCAGGAAACTTCATGTATGCACCATTAAAGAATTGATTTAAAGCTTGAAGAAATCACTATTTAAACTTCATCATTCTCTATTGTTTTCATTCAAAACTTGTCCTTCAATTTCTTATAGAGAGAAGAAGAATTTAGAGTAGCCAAAATGGCAAGGATTTGGCCTCATCTTCTAGTGTGTGCCTTGGCATTGTGCCTTGTGGCCTCTAATGTGGCTGCTGCCTACAAGGCTCCCATTTATGACTCACCACGCCGAACGACACCGTATGTTTACAAGTCACCGCCTTCTCAATCTTACAAGCCACCAAATTCTTACCCTCACAAATCTCTTTATGTATACAAACCACCACAAAATTCTCCATCCCCTCCACCTCCATCGCCATCGCCATCACCTCCTCCTCCATATGTTTACAACTCCCCGCCACCACCTTCTCCTTCACCACCTCCTCCATACGTGTACAAGTCGCCGACACCACCTTCTCTTTCACCACCTCCTCCATATGTTTATAAGCCAGCGCCACCTCCATCACCATCTCCTCCTCCTCCTTATGTTTACAAGTCCCCGCCACCACCTCCTCCATATGTTTACAAGTCGCTGCCACCACCTTCTCCTTCACCTCCACCTCCTTATATTTACAAGTCTCCCCCACCTCCATCTCCCTCACCACCTCCTTCATATGTTTACAAGTCTCCTTCTCCACCATCCCCATCACTTCCTCCTCCTCTTCCATCTCCGTGCCCGCCCCCTCCATATGTTTATAAGTTGCCCCCACCTCCATCTCCATCTCCATCTCCACCTCCTCCATATGTCTATAAATCTCCACCACCTCCACCTCCACCTCCTTCTCCATCACCTCCTCCTCCTTATGTCTACAAGTCCCCACCTCTTCCATCCCCATCCCCATCACCTCCACCTCCTTACTACTATAAATCTCCTCCTCCACCATCTCCCTCACCTCCTCCTCCCTACTATTACAAATCACCACCACCACCTTCTCAGGTGCTATTTGCTGTTGGAGCTCACGATCTTGAAGAACACTTGACTGGTTTGATTACTTGTCCTACCCCTTTCATAAGAACACAATCAGACAATCTGAATTCAGAGGTAACCAAAAGACCTAACACTGATTATATTCTTTGGAAGAAAACTGATAAATTACTAGTTAGTTGGTTGTCATCGTCAATCTCAGAGTCAATGTTTGCTATAACTTCCAAGTGTTTGTATGCTGCTGATATTTGGCTCACCTTTGAGAAGGAATTCATCACTAAATCAAGAGCCAAAACTCTTCATGTTAAGAGTCTTTTACAGAACACAAAAAAAGGAAAATATGAGTATGCATAATTACTTTCTAAAAATGAAAGGCTTTGCCGAAAATTTAACTACAAGTGGAGTCATTGTAACAGATGAAGAACTTCTCAATTATATTTTAGATGGCCTAGACTCAGAATATGATGCTGCGGTTGTAAACATTACTACTAGATTGGAGTCAAAACTTGACCCTATTTCTGTCCAAGAAGCACAAATTGTGTATAAAAACTTGAGTTTAGGCTAGAAAGAGCAAATACTGCAATGAGTTCAGTTATTCACAATGAGTTTCATGGTGGTTTAGCCAATGTAGCAACTCTTTCCATTGATAATGATACCAAGAAATCACAGACCAGTCAATCCTCCTCTTTCCCTACTGAATTTTCTCATTTTCACATAGCACAATTTCCTAGACACCAAATCCCCACCTTTAATCCTACCTCCTCATTCAACCCATCTACTTTCAATCAAATGCCCTACCTTACTGCTAATCCAAATCAGTTCTTATACTCAACTCCTCAAAATCAGTTCCAGAATCAACAATTTTCTGGAGGATTTCCTGGGGGCAGGGGAAGAGGCCGGGGAGGTGGCAGAGGGAAACCCATCTGTCAAGTATGGGGCAAAACAGGACACTTGGCCCTACATTGTTATCATAGTTTTGATGTGAATTTCACAGGAAATAGACCATGTCACCTCAGATTTCTCACAACTCATGGGCAGTACCAACTATGAAGGTGTTGAGCAACTCCAGGTTGGAAATAGTGAGCTTCTATCCATTACACATACTAGTTTTGTTACTTTATTTTGCCTAAATAGAGTCTTACACCTTAAGAATGTTTTGTGTGTCCCACATATCACAAAGAATCTTCTTAGTGTGTCTAAACTAACTAAAGAAAATGATGTTTCGGTAGAGTTTTTTACTTATTCATGTGTGGTAAAGGACAAGATCTCCAAAACCATTCTTCTTCAAGGAATGCTTAAAGATGGTCTCTATCGACTACAAGTTCCAGCTCCAATCACTTCTTCTTTCATGGCTTCTCACCCAACTTCAAGTCTAAAAGCAGTTGTCCTACCTCATCTCTCCACTCTTTCAATAAAATAGTACCTACATCTGCATCATCTGCCAAACACTCATAGCTTCCTATCTCCATTCCCTTTAATAAATGTACTCCTGCATGTAATATTCCTTTCAATAACACTAATGTACAACATTCTGACTCTTTTGTCTTAGATGCTATGCACTTTGCAACTGATTACAATTCTATCAATAAATTGCATAAGTTTGAGTCTTTTCCAACACAAAAAACAAATATTATGCTATGGCATAAAAGGCTTAGCCATCCACACATGGCAGTCCTTACAAAAATCCTCCATGAATTAAAAATTCCTCATCACTCTAAGAATGATATTACATTTTGTCAAGCATGCAAGTATGGGAAGTTACATCAATCAACTTATCCTAGGTCCTCATTCCATGCATCTAAACCCTTAGAACTAATATACTCTAATCTTCGAGGGCCTTTTCCAGTCCCATCACCTGAAGGGTTCAAATATTACATCCAATTTTTGGATGATCACAGTAGATTGATGTAACAACTGCTGTAAGCTAATATAATGCATGCATAATAACAATAGAAAATTGGGCCCAAAAACTTTCTTTTCATTATAAGTCATATGCCTTTTATACACAAAGAGTATTGTTTACAAAATCATTTTTAAAGGACAAAACAGGAGAAACAGTGTAGCTATTGCTCCTCGCTTGCCGACGCCCCTCCGACTGCATCAACACCTAGATCCTGCATCCACAAAGGAAAAATAACGAGGTGAGCACAAAATAATGCTCAGTAAGTAAAACCTTCTATCTGTCTGTCCCCGTATGTATTAATCTTAATTCTTTCCTTACACTATTTCTGTTTCTATTTCTGTTTCTATTAAACATCATGGCCTTATCTTATCGGAGGTACGGCCGGATGGTGTTCACACAGCACCATCTCACTCTTCATGACTATCGGGTGGAATTCACACAGTACCAACCCGTTCTTAGTGACTACCGAGTGGGGATCACAAAGCACCTACTCGGTTTTCCTAACTATCGGGTGGAGATCACCTAGCACCTACCCGTTTCTCATGACTCTTGGGTAACGATCACCAAGCATTAACCCGTCTCTAGTCACTATCGGGTGATGATCACAAAGCATCAACCCGCTTCTACTAAATGTTGGATGATGGTCACAAAGCATCAACCCACTTATCTAACAACTAACCGGGTAGTGGTCACAAAGCATCTACCCATTTCTACTACTCATCGGGTGACGATCACAAAGCATCGACCCATCTCTAAGGGCTATTCGGGTGGTGATCACAAAGCATCAACCCGATTCCCATAACTGTCGGGTGATGATCACAAAGCATCAACCCATCTATACTACTCTTCTAATTCACTCTATTCTAGCATTTTTCATTCTCTCTACCCTTAGGGTAGTTGCATCCACCAAGTTCTCTACTCATAGAGTAATTGCATACACAAAGTTTCCTACTCTTTCTTAGGTCACTTTTCAATGCACAATTAGTGCCTATGGATGGTTCATCTCCACTAATGCACTTATGAAATGCCAACATGCAATGTTGCAAGAATTAAGGTTCACTACTCATACTCAAATCTCTATTAGGCATTTCATCAAACAACTCAAGTGCATTATAAAACTCTACTATAGCAATGATTCTAAATCTTTCTCTAACCATCCAAAATGGGGAGAAACCCCCTCACATAGCCACATAACCTGCCAAAGAAAGACACTTCCAAAAAGGGTTCCACAATACCCCTTCAATTCCATCTCAAACTACCTTTCCAACCCACAACTCACTTCTTATATTTGAAAGGCATAAACAACCACAAGGCACTAGAAATCTCTATTTACCTCAATAACATGGCATATAACATGTATATAACACACATACATAAGTGCTATCAAAACCCTAATCAAGAAAATTCCCCAAATCTCAACTTGGGTTGGGGTTTACTTACCTTGTTATGGAGAGACTTCACTAACTCTTCCTTTCACTTGGTTTGCTTGACTTTTTCTCTACTCTTAAACAAAGGAACGAAAACCCTCAATATTCAATAAATATACAAAAACTCACAAGACTTCACAACCAAAGCAAGAATCCTTACCTTAGGATGCCTTAGGTTGATTTTCTACCCCAAATCACTCCAAAGGCCCTTTAAAACTCCTTGATCAAAAGAAAGAGAAATTGAGAGGAAGCAAGAGAGGAAAGTGGCGTTGGAGAAGAAGAATGAGGGGTTTGCAATGTCCTAATTCCTTTTAACGAAATTTATACACAAGCATTCCCATTTTGACCTTACTCTTCTTTGGGAATTCTATCTATACCCTTTGATTCATTACAAACACACCCCCATATCAACATATTCTCCATGAAAAATCCTTACATTTTACTCCCCACTTTTCCTGCTAATTAGGGGTAGAATGGTCAAATTGCCCTTAGGGAAGAAAATATATAAAACTTAACAAACATTTTGGTCGGCCTGTCGCCGCGGCGAGGAAGCTTCTGTTGCCGCGGCGAAACTGTCCAGCATGTTTCCCCGTGGCTTCAACACCTCTTCGCCGCGGCGAAGCTTGGCACACTGAAGTTCTTCTATTTTCAACCAATTTCAGGGCAAGTATTCAACACAACCCTCAATCAAAGGTCAACCAAACAATATTACCAAGAAACCAACTCAAATAAGAGCAAAAGAAGAAACAATAACTATGTACCTCAAGTGGGGCGTTACAATTGACTTGGCTTTTACTTTTAAAAGCCAAATCTGAAACTCAGGCTGTTTTTAAGCAATTTCATGTCTTGGTTGAAAAACAATTTGATACCTCAATAAAATGTGTTCAAATCGATTGGGGTGGAGAATATAGAAGCTTAGTTCCCTACCTTCAAGAACATGGCATTCTTTTCAGGAATCCTTGTCCTCACACTCACCAACAAAATGGTAGAGTGGAGAGAAAACATAGACAAATTGTGGAACAAGGCCTTACCTTGCTAGCCCAAGCTTGTATGCCACTTAAATACTGGTGGTTTGAATTTCAAACTACAACCTATCTCACCAACATACTTCCCACACTAGTCCTGTCACATTTATCTCCATTTCAGGTTTTGTTTCAAACTCTACCAAACTATTCAACCATCAAAGTTATCGATTGTGTGGTTTACCCCTTTCTTAGACCATACAACAGTGACAAATTCAATTTTCATACTACCAAATGTATTTTTGTTGGGTATAGTTTACATCACAAGGGCTATAAGTGTTTGGATCCCTCTGGTCACATTTATGTCTGTCAAAGTGTGAGTTTTGATGAAATTGAATTTCCTTTTCAGTCTAGTAAAACATTTGTTTCTCTGTCTTCCAATGATTCACCTTCATTTGACTCTCATTCACATTCCTTTAATCATTCTGTGTGGCATTTACCTTCATCTACTTTACCTTCATCTCAACATTCCAATATATATTATATACCTCCTAATGGTCCTACCACACTTAATCAGTCTAAACTACCATATACATCACTTTCTAATCCAGCTCTTCAAATAATCTCCACCAGTCCTACCACACTACATCAGTCCAACACTTCAGATACATCGAACTCTACCCCAGTTCTCCAACCAACCTCTTCTTCCAATAAGTCTCCCACATTTGATCGTTCAACACATGACAGTACCCATTATTCTGTCCCAAACACATACCTATCAAATTAGTCTCAAACCTCTATATTATCACCTCAAACTTTAGATTCCAATGAGCCTTATGATTCTATTCCATTTTATATCTCTTTGCCTCTTACCCAACCCTACCCTCCATCATTAAATACACATCCTATGCTCACTAGGTCTAAGACTATAGCTCATAATAATGTCTTAGTTTCTTCTCTTGACACCAAAGAACCAGCTACAGTATTAGAAGCTCTCACTCATCCATCTTGGAAGGCTGCCATGCAAACTGAATTTGATGCCCTGCTGACTAACAACACTTGGGAGCTGGTTCCTCTCACATCTGAAAGGCACCCAATTGATAGTAAATGGGTGTTTAGGATCAAGTACAACTCTGATGGATCTGTTCAGAGGTTCAAAGCCAAGTTAGTGGCAAAAGGTTTCCAGCAAACTCTAGGTATAGATTACTTGGAAACCTTCAGTCCTGTAGTAAAGTCTCCCACCGTTCATGTGATTCTCAGCTTGGCAGTAAATAATGGGTGGGATATACAGCAGGTTGACATCAATAATGCGTTCCTAAATGGTGAACTTACTGAGGCAGTATACATGACTCAACCTGAAGGGTTTGTTAACCATGCACACCCTCATCATGTATGTAAACTAACCAAGACTCTCTATGGCTTAAAACAAGCACCAAGAGCTTGGTTTGAGAAGCTAAAAAGAGCATTTTTGCAGTGGGGTTTTACACATTTTGTGGCAGATTCAAGCCTTTTTGTTTACAAATAAGATGAGAAAATCATGTATGTCTTGGTTTATGTGGATGACATCTTTATTTATCAGAAATGATCCTACTTTAGTACAAGCTACTGTTCAAGATTTAAACACTCAAGTAAAGTATGGTTCAAGTAAACAATCATGTAGACTTAAAAATCTAAGGATCTTTAAGGTATTTTCTTGGCTTTGAAATATCCAGAACTTAGTCTGGCCTTTATATAAATCAAGTAAAGTATGCCAAAGATCTTTTGGAAAGAACTAACATGGGAAAATGTAAGCCTTGTACTACCCCTATGGCTCTCGGCACCAAGTTAACTTTGGATGACAGTGAGCCTTATGAAAATCCAGCTCTTACTAGAAGCACAATAGAAGCTCTATAGTACTTGACTTTATCTAGACCTGGTATTGCCTATTGTGTCAACAAATTAAGCCAGATTCTCAAAGCTCCCACATAGCTACACTGGCAGGCCTACAAGAAGTTACTTCGGTACATTAAAGGCACAACTCAGTATGGCTTACAATTCACTAAAAGTCACAGATTAAACCTGGAGTGTTACACAGACGTTGACTGGGCAAGCAGCCTTGAAGACCCCAGGTCCACCAGTGGCTATTGTGTCTTCCTTGGTTCAAATATGCTTCAATAGACCTCTAGAAAATAGAAGGTAGTAGCCCTATCATCCACTGAAGCAGAATAAAGAGCTCTAGCTCAAGGTGCTATAGAATTGACTTGGTTTTGTAGTCTTTTCTTTGAACTTGGCCTTCCTCTGTCAGAAATTCTAGTCATCTTATGTGACAACCAGAGTGCTGGATCATTGGCATCTAATCCTATCTTCCATGGTAGGAATAAGCACATTAAGCTTGATGCTCATTATGTGCGAGAGCAAGTCACTACCAATAAACTAAAAGTTCAATATGTACCCACTGAGTTTCAAAAAGCTAATATCTTTACTAAAGCTCTTCTAGCTTCTAGGTTTGAATTTTTAAGGAACAAACTCACAATACAAGCTTCTTCCAGCTGCTGAAGTCCTTGATGAATTCTTTCTACTGCTGAGCAACCACTACATTAGTGAATTCTTTCATGAGTGATTGAGAAGTCCCTTGATGAAGTTCATTCTACTGCTGAGCAGCTACTACATTGGCGAAATCTTTCACAAGTGATTGAGACTTCTTACATCTGGTGAGAAGTGTCTTAATGAGTTCTATTCACTGCTAAGCAACCACTACATTAGTGAATTATTTCATAAGTGATTGAGAGGTCTCTTGATGAGTTCCGTCTATTGTTGAAGCTTCAAAGGTCCAGCTTACGGGTGGATGTTAGGATGTGAAAATGTTGAAGCTTAGAGGTCCAGCTTACAGGTGGATGTTAGGATGAGAAAATGCTGAAGCTTAGAGGTCTAGCTTACGGGTGGATGTTAGGATGTGAAAATGCTGGAACTTTGACTCACGTTGACTATCAAGAGCTTACTGTTAAAGAGTTTGTTAAATCTGTTTACTGTTTCTGTTATTCTGTTAATCACATGCTTTAAGTTTGTTAACACAGTTTTGTATGAATACAGCCTGTAGCTGTTAATAAATAATAAGAAAAACAGATTACTCTCTCTCTTAAACTTTCCCTTTTTCTTCTTTCATTTTTCCTGCACTTTATCAGCTGCTTTCATAGTTGGTTTCTAGTTCATCTCTAATTATATCTCATTTTATTCTCCTCTCCTTCCACATTTTTTCTCACTTAAAAACGGACTCTCTTGGCCTTTCGCTAGGCTAAACCTCAACACTAAGCTAAAATGAACAAGGTCTAACCATTGACAATTTATAGCTTGTTTTGATACATAAAGACATGAATTTAATGAGATTTAAGGAGCACCATAGTTGTTCCACCCGCTATACACCAAGCCAAATTTATCAACGGGAGATCACAACATTTTCTTCCAGTCAATAATATGACAATCGGGAAATGTTTTTGGTCCCCGCTAATTTATTAATTGCCCCCGTTTAAAGGATAAAATAGTAATATAATTTAATAATAAATGGTACTTATAAAAAAGTGAGTGTACTTAGCAAAATTCTTATTTTTTTGTTTCATAAAAATAACCAACCACCAGTCAATCTTTCACTTCAACTCATTAATAAGCTCGAGCCTAGAGTACTTAAAAAAAAAAAAAAAAAAAATCATATTCTCACAATAATCAAAGAACATTTTTGTCGTCAATTATTTGCAATCTTTCAATAAATATAAAAGAATTTTTTTCTTCCATAAAGAATAAATATGTTTAATGCAACACACATTTGTTTGAAATAGAATAACATAAGTGAAATAGATATTTCTCATTGTATAATCTTTATTTATCTATTGAATTAATAGACTTTTAGAATTGTTAGGAGGTTCTTGATCTTTATTTACGAATATTTTTCAATTAACAATAAAAAATGGTATACTTTAATTAAATATGAAGTAATTTATAATTTTACCCTCTTTTAAATAAAAGATTTTTTTTTGGGGGGAGGGACAATAATGCTACGGACACCGGTATTTTTACACCGAAATATTGTATCGGCTTACGTGTCCCGTGATTCATACTAGTAAATCAGACACGTTTTACGTTATTAAATTTTTTTTAGTGAACGGTTGTTCATCAACTATGGACGACCGTTCATTTACTATGGACTCTCGTTCATATTATATGGACGAAGGTTCATTTATTATGGACAAGCGTCCTCATTTAAAGGATGCCCGTCCATAATGTAAATATAAAAAATGAAAAAAAACTGGATGCTCGTACCTAACGTGTAAAAAAATAAAATTTTAAATAAAATAAAGGGTCAGCCGTTCACCATTTCTGGACGGCCGTCCCTTGATCAAAATTGGAAGTTATCTTTTTCTTGAGTCCACTAATCACGTCTTCGCCTCGTCAATCTCTTTCTCCAACTCAGTAATCTTGGCCTCCATTTCCTTGGATTTGCTCTCTGATTCCTTCAAACTTCCCTCCACTGACTTCTTCTCAACTATCCACTTATCTAATTCAAACTCCAAAACATTAACTTTCTTCTTAAACCCACTAATTTCCCTCTCTTTGTCATCAATTTTTTCCCTCATTTCCTCTTCAACTCTCACGCTTTTACTCTTCTCTTCCAATTCCCTCACTTCCAAAGTCCCAACTTTTCTTTCCAACTCCCTCACTTTCTTCTCACTATCAACTTTCTCACTCTTCAACCCATCAATTTCTTTCTCTAATCCCTCCAATTTCACTCCCTTCTCTTCCAGACTCTTCTTCAACTCTACCACCTCAGCACTTGCCTCATCCCTTAGATGCTGTCAAAAATCTGTAATTTTTCTTTTATCAATTTCTTTCTCAAAAATGCTGTCAGAAACGACCTTGCTTCCCTAGATGATGTCAAAAATCTTTAGGAATCCTGACTCTCTTTGTTGTATCAAACTGATGGCCCATGAGGGACGGCGCGGTTTTACTGATAAAATTAATAAATTAATAGGGGCTAAAATCACGTCTTGTAACAATCTTGTCGACAGTATTTATGTCTGGTTCAAGTCACCCCTTGGTGGGATATGTTTACAAGTCGCCGCCTTCTCAATCTTACAAGCCACCAAATTCTTACCCTCACAAATCTCCTTATGTATACAAACCACCACAAAATTCTCCATCCCCATCGCTATCGCCATCACCTCCTCCTCCATATGTTTACAAGTCCCCGCCACCACCTTCTCCTTCACCACCTCCTCCATATGTTTATAAGTCACCGCCACCGCCACCGCCACCGCCACCTCCATCACCATCTCCTCTTCCTCCTTATGTTTACAAGTCCCCGCCACTACACTCGCCTCCACCACCTCCTCTATATGTTTACAAGTCCCCGCCACCACCTTCTCTGTTGAAGATTGGTTCTGTGCTCGAAGTAAGATTTGTTGTAAGTTGAAACTGCTTTGCTGCTGTGGATGGACGTGCATGGTGCTGTTCCAAGTTCAGTAGCTTTTATATTTTAGTGTTAATTTTGAATTAGTTGACTCAGCTTATTTTGTAATGAAGTTGTTTGAAGTTGTTGGAAGTGAGTGGTTTAGCTGAGATTAAGTGAAAGTTCTGACAGTAGTTGGAACATTAAACAACAGCATGTTATATTCAGTTTTCTGTCTAATGAAAAGTAGTCCAGTTTTTATTCACTCTCTCTCTTTTCTTTGGACAACCGGCATTTACAAAAACACTAACATGGTATCAGAGCTCCATTAACCAACAATCTTCTAACAAGTTCACTCAAAAAAACTCATCCCAAAATCACCATCAAACTACAGTCTTACGCAAGAACAAAATTTTTCAAAAAAACTGCAACCAGTTTTACGCATGGCTTCTCAATCTGCGTCTCTCTCACCTCCAGTGTTCAATGGGGACCAGTATCACATTTGGACTATTAGAATGAAAGCCTACCTAAGAGGACAAGGGCTGTGGCAATATGTGGAAGAGGAGAAACAGCCACCACAACTTGGTCCAAACCCAACTTTGAATCAAATGAGAATGTATGAAGAGGAAATGTCTAAAGCTCCAAGAGCTCTTTCTTACATACATTCGGTAGTAACAGACCTTGTATTTACAAGGATAATGGCGTGTGAAACTGCAAAGGAAGCTTGGCATAGCCAAAGAGAAGAGTTCATGGGAAGTGACACAACCCGTAACAGGCAAGTCATGAACCTGCGCAGGGAGTTTGAAATGCTGAGAATGCAGGAGGTAGAGAAGGTTAAAAAGTATGTAGATAGACTCATGAGTGTGGTGAACAAAATCAGATTATTGGGAGTTGAGATGAGTGACAAGATGATAGTTGAGAAAGTGTTAGTCAACCTTCCGGAAAGGTTTGAGTCCAAGATATCTTCCTTAGAAGATTCAAAAGATCTCTCCCAAATCAGCCTCACTGAATTGGTCCATGCCTTGCAGGCCCAAGAACAAAGAAGGTTGATGAGGCAGGAGGACTCAAATGAAGGTGCTATGTTGGCTGCTCAAAAGGGAGTGAATATGCAGTGTAGTAATAGAAAATATGCTGGGGATAAGAGAGGAAAAGAGAGAGCTGGTGGACAGTGGGGAAAACAGGGTGGAGGAAGAAATTATCCACCATGTTCCCACTGCAAAAAGAAGGGACATCCAGACAGCAAGTGCTGGTTCAGGCCTGGGATTCAATGCAGGGGATGCAAGCAGTTTGGCCACATTGAAAAAGTGTGCAGGAACAAGGCTGCACAGCCACCATAGCAAGCACAAAGTGCAGATGACCAGCAGCAAACCAGTGAACCAGAACAACTGTTTATAGCTTCATGCTACTCAATGCAGACCAACAAGATGTTTGGCTGATAGACAGCGGATGTACTAACCACATGGCAGCAAATGTGGAGAATTTTGTTAGACTGGACAGGACTTACAGCTCCAAGGTTAAGGTTGGAAATGGGGACTATGTGGAAGCAAGAGGAATTGGAGATGTAGCAGTCCAAACTCAGGCAGGGACTAAGGTTATTTCTAATGTTCCATTTGTACCTGAAATTGCACAAAATTTGCTAAGTGTAGGTCAAATGTTAGAGAAAAATTATACCTTGCATTTCCAAAACCATTCATGCATTATAAAGGATAGTGAGGGAAATGAGTTGTTGAGTGTAAGGATGCTTGGTAAAAGCTTTCCTCTGGACTGGAAAAAACCAGAAAACTCAGCATTAATCACCAAGGTTGAAGAGTCTGAGTTATGGCATAAAAGACTTGGGCATTTTCATTACCTTGGAATTAAAGAGCTCAAGTCAAGGGACATGGTATTAGACCTGCCCGAGATAGAGGAGAAAATGACTTTGTGCACAACTGCCAGCTTGGCAAACTCAACAGGCCATCATTCCCTTCGGATCAAGCCTGGAGAGCAAGTCACAAGCTGCAATTGATCCACTCGGATGTGTGTGGTCCAATGAAGACAGAATCTTTAAATGGCAGCAGGTACATTGTACTTTTCATTGATGATTTTTCAAGGGTGGCTTGGGTTTATTTCTTGAAGCAGAAAAATGAAGTGGCTGCTGTGTTCAAACAATTTAAGTTGCTGGTGGAGAATGAAGTTGGAACCTTGATCAAAGCAGTAAGGACAGACAATGGAACAGAGTAAACTTCAAATGAGTTCAAGACAGTCTGCAGCCTAGCTGGAATATAGCAGCAGTTCACAGCACCATACACCCCTCAATAGAATGGTGTTTGTGAAAGAAGAAACCGAACCATTATGGAAATGGCTAGGTGTATGATGGCTAGAAAAAACCTCCCTAAAATGTTCTGGGCAGAAGCTGTTAATACAGCAGTTTTCCTGCTGAATAGGCTACCCACCAGGGCAGTCAAACATCAAACACCAATTGAGGCATGGACTAGAGTCAAGCCAGCAGTAGGGAACCTGAAAGAATTTGGAAGCATAGCCTATGTGATGATCCCAGCCAGCAAAAGGTCCAAGTTGGATGACAAGGCAGAAATTGGGATATTTATAGGCTACAGCAGCAACTCTAAAGCTTATAGAGTTTATGTTCCTGAGTCCAAAAGGATTGTAATCACAAGGGACATAAAGGTTGATGAATGTGGAGTCTGGAATTGGGAAGAAAAAAGGGTTGATGTGCAGACTGAATCAAGTCAGAATGAGAGAAGAGAGGGACTGATTCAAGAGGCAGATTCAGATAAGAAAGAAGAACATGCTGTTAGAGGAACTAGAACTCTGGCTGATGTGTATGACAGGTGCAATATGGCAGTGGTGGAACCAAGATGCTACCTGGATGCTGCAAAATCTGAATTGTGGAGGGCTGCAATGCAGGAAGAACTGAGTATGATTAATAAAAATCAAACCTGGAAATTGGTACCAAGACCTGAAAAAAGGAAAGTCATTCAAGTGAAATGGATTTTCAAACTAAAAATCAACCCTGATGGCTCAATCTACAAGCACAAAGCAAGGCTGGTGGTAAAGGGTTTTGCACAGCAACTAGGTATTGATTTTTCAGAAACCTTTGCCCCAGTTGCTAGGCAAGACACAATCAGGCTGCTATTGGCACTTGCAGCTCAGTTTAATTGGAAAATTTTCCAGCTGGATGTCAAGTCAGCATTCCTGAATGGATGGATTTCAAAGGAGCTGTATGTAGAGCAACCCGAAGGCTACAAGGTTGAGGGAAAGGAGGACTATGTGTACTTACTAAGGAAGGCCTTGTATGGCTTGAAGCAGACCCCTAGAGCCAGGTACAGCCAAATAAATGACCATTTGTGCAGCCTTAGATACACTAGAAGTCCTAATGAACACACTCTCTACATTAGGAAAACTAAGAAAGGAGTGGCTGTGGTTTCCCTCTATGTTGATGACTTGTTGGTGACAGGAATTAATCCTGATGAATTGGACCAGTTCAAGTTAGATATGCAAGCTGAATTTGAAATGACAGATTTGGGATTGATGAAGTACTTTCTTGGCATGGAGATAACTCAGGTTGTTGGTGAGATTTTTGTGTGTCAACAAAGGTATGCAACCGAGCTTCTCTTAAGGTTTGGAATGGAGAATTGCAAACCAGTGAATACTCCTCTGGTTCCCAACCTGAAATTAAGCAAAACAGATGGTGCAGAGAGGGTTGATGAAGGGAAATACAGAAGCTTAGTGGGAAGTCTGCTGTATTATACAGCCACCAGACCTGACCTTATATTCACAGCAAGTTATCTCTCAAGGTTTATGAGCAACCCAAGTGAATTGCCTCTTAAGGCTGCAAAACGTGCGCTGAGATATGTAAAGGGAACCATCATGTTAGGCATCTATTTTAGGAAAGCTGAAAGTCTGAAATTGTTGGGGTACATTGACAGTGATTGGGCTGGATCCCTGGATGATGCAAGAAGCACTTCTGGTTATGTGTTTTATCTGAATAAGGGTGCAATCAGTTGGCTATCAAGGACGCAAGAGACCGTGGCACAGTCTACTGCTGAAGCTGAATATGTCTCTGCTACAGCAGCAGTGAACCAAGCTATGTGGCTGAGGAAAATGTTGGATGACTTGCTCCAAGTGCCCTATGTGATAACCAGTCGGCTGTGGCAATGGCAAAGAATCCTGTACTCCACGGTAGAACTAAGCATATTAAGATCAAGTATCATGCTGTTAGGGAAGCTGAACAGAGTGGGGAAGTAACCTTAGTGCACTGCAGAGGGGAAGATCAGGTTGCTGACATAATGACAAAGGCATTATGCAAATCCAAGTTTGAAGCCTTTAGGCTAAAACTTGGTGTTTCCAGCCAAAGCACCAAGGTGGAGTGTTGAAGATTGGTGTTGTGCTGGAAGTAAGATTTATTGTAAGTTGAAGCTGCTTTGCTGCTGTGGATGGACGTGTATGGTGTAGTTCCAAGTTCAGTAGCTTTTATATTTTAGTGTTAATTTTGAATTAGTTGACTCAGCTTATTTTGTAATGAAGTTGTTTGAAGTTGTTGGAAGTGAGTGGTTTAGCTGAGATTAAGTGAAAGTTCTAACAGTAGTTGGAACATTAAACAACAGCATGTTATATTCAGTTTTTTGTCTAATGAAAAGTAGTCCAGTTTTTATTCACTCTCTCTTTTCTTTGGACAACGGGCATTTACAAAAACACTAACATTCTCCTTCACCTCCACCTCCTTATGTTTACAAGTCTCCTCCGCCTCCGTCTCTCTCACCACCTCCTTCATATGTTTACAAGTCTCCTTCTCCACAATCCCCATCACCTCCTCCTCTTCCTCCATCTCTGTGCCCGCCTCCTCCATATGTTTATAAGTCGCCCCCACCTCCATCTCCGTCTCCACCTCCTCCATATGTCTATAAATCTCCACCACCACCACCTCCACCTCCTTTTCCATCACCTCCTCCTCCTTATGTCTACAAGTCCCCACCCCCTCCATCCCCATCACCTCCACCTCCTTACTACTATAAATCTCCTCCTCCACCATCTCCCTCACCTCCTCCTCCCTACTATTACAAATCACCACCACCACCTTCTCCTTCACCACCGCCACCTTATTACTACAACTCCCCACCACCTCCCAAGGTTTAGTAATCAAGTCATTGTTTCCACTCAGAGCAAGTCCACTTCATCAATCCACCATGTTGACAGACAATATTTGTCGACTACATTTTGGAGGCAGATTTGCATGATTTAAGCCATCGCTCTGTTGGTCAGACAAATAACAATCTTAAAAGAAGACATTGTTGTATACTTCTTTACAGCATTTTACTATTTACATGTACTTTATATACACAGTTTCTTATTCCAGAAATAATTAAACTTTTATATTAATTGTTGTTTATATACAGTATTGTTATGTCTAAAACGTCAAGCTTATGTCAGTCCAATAAATATCTTTTTGTACTAGCTCTCAAGCTCATATCTCTTCAAAGATATTCATACTAACCCTATCTCATTTCAAGAGATGAATGGACGAGAGCCTTCCATGTGTGAAGGCAACTTGCAAAACACTCATTACATTGAGTGCAAATGTGTATAAATTGACACTTTTCTTCCCGAAGAGGGAGGCTGAGCATATGAGAGCTGGGCATAGATTTGAGTTCAATTCTTTCTCTCTGTAAACACTGTATTTCTTTATCTTTGTATGTCTCACGAGCAATATCATAGAAATAGTCAGAGATCGATAAAATAACAGTAGATGTAAGAGTCGCTTGTTTGAGCATCCGAACCACTATAAAAACCTCTCTTGTTAGCTTTTTATTTATGTTTTCTGCAACATATATAATCTTAGCTCCATATTCAAATCTCATGGATTCATCACGTGTAATTTCTAAGACCCTCTTAGCACTTTGCACATGCGAGTCTTTGGCGTCCGAAATCAAGTATCAACAAGTATATTAACTTGATCGATGTCACACTATCTCTCAAACTAAGTTCACTGAATAAGACTTCGTGCATGCATATGGATAGGATATTAACTTGATCGATGTCACACTATCTCTCAAACTAAGTTCACCGAATAAGACTTCGTGCATGCATATGGATAGGACTAATTAGTAAACTAGTTATAATTGACAGATTATTATAAATTAAGATGATTGAAAACTAAACTTTAGATGTGATATATTATCAATACTCTAAACACGTGAGAACCTATAAGCGATCAATTGTTTTGTAGCATCAAAACAAAATTCAGGACACGCCAACAGTTTGATATTTGATTAGCACTCCTTTCTACTTCCGAAATATTAAACACAAAGTTCATAATTTTAAGTGAAACAAAAGTTGTATACTCAACATATATTTACAAGTCTCCACCGTTACCTCCCCCACAACCTCATTTCTTTAAACTGTAAGTCATGTACCCACAACTCAAAGGTGTTTCAAGCTCTTAGTTTCTGCCACGACAAGATACTGATCCATCTATACAACATTTAGCTAAGCATAATTTGTATGTAAAAAAAAATTATAATAAAAGCATTAAAAAAAAATTTACGCACAAATTTGATAAGCCGAAATATTACCGAGATCTACTAACGGCTCACCGCTTTTATTTTCTGAATAATGCAAAACAATTTTAGATTCTATAAGACAAATAAATGAAATAATAAATAAAACTCAACTCCCAATTGTCATCCCCATCCCCTTTTGGCTATTATATGCTCTCGGATTACTCATTTCATTCTCCTCTCCTTCCACATTTTTTCTCACTTAAAAACGGACTCTCTTGGCCTTTCGCTAGGCTAAACCTCAACACTAAGCTAAAATGAACAAGGTCTAACCATTGACAATTTATAGCTATACTTTGGGCTTGTTTTGATACATAAAGTCATGAATTTAATGAGATTTGAGGAGCACCGAGTACTCAAAAAAAAAAAAAAAAAAAAAAAAATAAAAGAATCATTTCTCACAATAATCAAGAACATTTTTGTCATCATTATTACAATCTTTCAATAAATAATAATTTTTTTTCTTCCATAAGAATAATATATTTAATGCAACACACCTTTGTTTGAAATAGAATAAGTGAAATAGATTTTTCTCATTGTATAATCTTTATTTACATTTATTAATAGACTTTTAGATTTGTTAGAGTTCTTGATCTTTATTTACGAATTTTTCAATTAACAATAAAAAATGGTATATTAATAAATATGAAATAATTTACAATTTTACCCTCTTTTAAATAAAAGATGGGGGGTTACTGAAAATTAATAAATTAAGGGGCTAAAATTACTTCTTGTAACAATCTTGTCGACAGTATTTATGTCTGGTTCAACTCACCCCTTGGTGGGATATGATTAGTGAGTCCAACTTACCTCTTGGTTGGTTTGAGAAACCAAAACCCAAATAATAATGATAACCTTAGGTTAACTTATTTTGACACTTGTCATGGCTTAAGTTGTTGGTTGACTACCCAAAAATTAGCATATTAAAAAAAATTTTCCCATTTCTCATCCATTTGTATCATTCGATCGCAACGCTTGTCTCTTTCTCCCGTAAGAACTTGTTACTTCTCCACTTAAAATAACACAACTATGAATTTTTCTTTGGCTAGTGTTGGGCAATTGGCAAAAAAAATAAAAAAAAAAAAAGTAAAAATCTAAAAAGGAAGATGATTGGAATTTTGTAATTATAATATTTAATTGAGGCATACATTCATCGGTCTTTTTACTCTTACATGTGTTCTTCTAGATGTCATTTTAGTAGACAGTCATTCAGTGAATTTCTTGTTCTTTTTTTCATCAATCTTTATATATTTACTGTTATAAATTTCAGAGAAAGTCTTTAGCAGAACTAACAAATCACAAGTATCTAATAAAATATCCTTAGATTTTAATGGCCTTTAGTTTGCATTTCAATTGCCAAGTTATAACTTGAAATACCGATTAATTGTAGAGCTAAACAATCATGCCCAGTAGAATATAGATATGTGTACAAAATGTTGTAACTTTTGAAAGATATGTATTTATATAGATATGGTACAAATTTTACATGCAAACTATATAAAATTTAATAAAATGAGATAACGAAAACTAAAAAATAAGGTTAAACAACTAACACAGACGATGTAATGATAGATATAAAACAATATCATCAAATATATTTACAAATTTTGGTAGATAGTATTGATAAACTCTTTCATATTGAAAATTGTAAAAGTTTGTCTTTTAACGTTTAACACTTTTTTTTTGGTAACCGGAGTATCTAGGCCAACTTACGCGCACCTCAACTAATCATCAGGGTTTATTGAATATCCTATAAACTCAAAAGATCAGGTAAGCCACAATGTTATTGTGATAGGTGACCCCAGGTTTGACCCTATAAATTTTTTTTTATAACCGGGGTGTTCGGGCCAGCTTATACGTATTTCAACTAATCTCCAAGATCCATAAACACCCTACAAGCTTAAAAGACCAAATAAGTCATAAGTTATTGTGGTATGTAACTTAAGGTTTGAATCCAGAAACTTAAATAATAAAACAAACTTTTTTTACTGTTAGGGTAACCCTTACGTTTTTTACTTTTAATATTACCATAATATTAAGCGTATTTTTTAAAAAAAAAAAAAAAAAAAAAAAAAAAAAAAAAAAAAAAAAAAAAAAAACTATGCTAATGTCGTCTTTTCTACGCATCGCCGACGTTCATACTTTTGACTCTAAATAAGAAGGTTGACTATGATCAGACTGCTTAGTTTGTGTCAGTTCATGAAAAAGGAAAACTAAATAAGCTGTAAAGGCGAAAGGAAACAAAAAAAAAAAAAAAAAGTATTTAACTCGTGAATTAGTCCTGGGTGCAACTTGACACTCGATCAATTTGAATAGGAGACTTCAGAAACTACAAAGAGGGTGGGTTGATTTATTTTTAATGAAGAGTAGTTGAAATGCCAACCACACTTGACAGTAGATTACAGCTTTTTTGAACAAATATTTCAAACCTTCGACTCACTGAATCTAGGTAGCTTCCTCATAACACCGACCAAATGTTTTCGAACCAGAATTCCCTCCTGATATGAGTTTTTACCAAGTAAATAAAACTTATGATCGGTAGATACAGAATGAAATTATAACAAATAGATTTTTATCATAAATTAATTAAACTACATCTGAATAATCAGTTCATTAAAAGCTCTACAAAGTAAATCTTCGGAAGTAAGACTGTAAATATCTCTTTATGTTACTAGAGTTGTTCTTCTTGTATAAAATTGACTGCTTCAAGGAACTTGCTCTAGTTGTACAATGTTAATGGACATCGTAAAGGCAGTTGGGTTCCCACTATGTATTTTTTTTTCAACATATATACATATTACTTAAAATATGTAAAATGAACTTGTCAAAGACAGGAAACTTGATGCATGCACCATTAAAGAATTGATTTAAAGAGTGAAGAAATCACTATATAAACTTCATCATTCTTATTTGTTTTCATTCAAAACTTGTCCTTTAATCTCTTATAGAGGACAAGAAGAATTTAGAGTTGCCAAAATGGCCAGGATTTGGCCTCATCTTCTAGCGTGTGCCTTGGCATTGTGCCTTGTTGCCTCTAACGTAACTGCTGCCTACAAGGCTCCCACTTATGCTTCGCCACGTCCAACGACACCGTATATTTACAAGTCGCCGCCACCTCACTCTCACAAGCCACCAAATTCTTATCCTTACAAATCTCCTTATATTTACAAGCCACCACCACAACATTCTCCATCCCCTCCTCCTCCATCGCCGCCACCGCCCTCTCCTTCACCACCTCCTCCTTACCTTTACAAGTCCCCGCCACCACCTTCTCCTTCACCACCTCCTCCATATGTTTATAAGTCCCCGCCACCTGCATCACCCTCGCCTCCTCCTTATTTTTACAAGTCGCCACCACCACCTCCATATGTTTATAAGTCTCCTCCTCCACCATCTCCATCACCTCCACCTCCTTATGTCTACAAATCCCCTCCCCCACCATCTCCCTGTCCCCCTCCTCCATATGTTTATAAGTCACCCCCACCTCCATCTCCATCTCCACCTCCTCCATACATTTACAAGTCACCACCACCTTCACCCTCCCCTCCTCCTCCATACATTTACAACTCCCCACCTCCACCTTCACCATCACCTCCTCCTCCATACATTTACAAGTCTCCACCACCACCTTCTCCTTCACCTGCTCCTCCATAAATTTACAAGTCCCCACCACCACCTTCTCCATCACCTCTTCCTCCATACATTTACAAGTCTCCACCACCACCTTCTCCTTCACCTCCGCCACCTTATTTCTACAACTCAGTACCACCTCCTAAAGATTACTAAACAAGTCACTTTCTCTACTCAGAGCAAGTCCACTTCATCAATGCACAATGTTAGCTGATAAAATTGGTTTGATTACATTTTGGAGGCAGATTTGCATAATTTAATTCATCACTCTGTTGGTCAGAAAAATAACAATCTTAAAGAAGACATCATGTTAAACTTCTTTGTAGCTTTTCAATTGTACTTTCTACACAATTTATTTCTGTTTTTACAAAGTGTTATATTCAATAAAATTCTTGTTCCAGAAATAATGGAACTTTTATATTAATTTGTAGTTTATATATAGTACATTAACTTGATCCCTCTCAAACTCTATCAAACTAAGTAATAAATTAGATATACATATTAATTAATAATACTACTCAGTTTGAGAGAGTTCGAGATCGATCAAGTTTGGGGTTAGCTATACGCCTATACCCAAGGGTTGTTGGGATTCGTTATACCCAAAGGTCTTGTGTTCGAGTCATAGGAGAGGCAATTATTGGGTTTACCTAAGAAAATACTGCTTTTCCCAAAATTTATCCCTAGTTTTATATTCCAAGTTTATCGTACCTGAAATTGACATGTAATAACCATATAATCGACATATTATTTACAAGGTGAAAATAAAATATTTGGAAGGAATAGTTTTACTTTATGTCAATACCCTTAGTACACGTGAGTGAGATTCAAAGAGAAAACGAAAAATAAGGGAGCTAATTGAGTAAGAACTTACAGTGTTTTTATTTCTTGTTAACTAACTGATACAAGAAGAAGACTGCTCTTTTTTATATGAAATAAGAGAGAGTCAAAATGACACTGTTACAAGACAAGTGGGATTTACAACTTTGACCCACTTTGACTCCTTTTAGCTTTGGTCAACACTTCCCCTCAAATACAGCTGGGGTATTAACCTTGCTTCAATCAACATTCTAACATTTCCTCTCAATTACAGCTGGGGTAATACTTCAATCAATATGCCAACACTCCCTTCAAATACAGTTGGGTAAAAATAAAAAAAAAATCAGTATAGTCAAACAAATCAACAAACTAACTTGTGCAAATCAACAAACAAACTATAGCTATTCTGCACTTTATCATTGGCAAACTATGCAACAGACTGTAGCTCTGTTTCACTACTTCAGTTTCTAAAATGTATTAGTTCAGCTCAGTAGCTCTGCTTCACGCCTTCAGTCTCAAAAAAAGCATAAGTTCATTTCAGATTTCATTTTGAAATTCTCAGACGTCATTCTCAAATTTTATACAGCAAAATCAACTGCTTCCCACAAAATCAGAACTTCTCAACGTTTACAAACCACAGATTCAGCACACAACTTCAGTTTGTATGCAGAAAAACTTTAAAGCAGAGATTTAGAACATCCCAGCTTTCTCACGAACTTAGTATACAACTTCAGAAATATTTGCACATGTCAGGAAAACTTTAGTGCATATTTTCAGAGAAGCTCACATCTCAGGGAATAGTTTCAGAACCACATAAAAGAAACTCTTGCGCCAAAAAAAAAAAAAAAAAAAAAATTCAGTGCAGACTTCAGAGAAACTTTTGCACATTTTAGTGCATACTTCAGAAAAACTTTTGCACATTTCAGTACACACTTCAGGGAAACTTTTGTACATTTCAGTGCATACTTCAGAAAAATAAAAAAATAAAAAAAAACTTTTGCACATTTTAGTGCATACTACTTTAGAGAAACTAGAGGGACTTTTGCACAGAAGCTTGTGCGCACAACTGCTCATAATTTCAGAAACTTAGAAAGTCCTTCACACATTCAACGCAGAGCACCACAAACTCATCACTTTTCACAACTATTCTCAAACTGAGTGCTGCAGTAATTCAGATAAATGCAACACACATCACACAAATTCAGCCTTCAAAATAGAATGTGATTAGAATAAAGGAACAGACTTGCAGAATCTTCAGCAATATGGCTCAGTTCAGATTTTCTCAGCAGAAATCTTCACCTCAACAACATTGAGTTTCTGTTTCAGCTTCTGAAATTGAGCTACTGATAAAGATTTTGTTAATATGTCAGTGATTTGCAATTTTGATAGAACATATTGCACTATGAATTTCTTGGCTAGAACCTTATCTCAGATGTGATGCATGTCTATTTCAATATGCTTAGTTCTAGCATGAAATACAGGGTTGGAAGCCAAAGCTCCTGCACTAAGATTGTCACACCAAATGACATGAGTGGCAAATAATGTAATCCCTAACTCAGAAAACAGGCTATTTAACCAAGCTAATTCAGTTGCAGTATGTGCAAGGGCTTTGTATTCAGCCTCTGTTGAAGACAAGGCAACAACTTTCTGCTTGCAAGAACTCTATTGAATTAGGTTGGGTCCTAGGTAAATGCAATAACCACTTGTAGACCTCCTATCGTCAAGATTGCTTCCCTAATCTGCATCGGTATAGCATTCAACACAAAAGGCAACTGTTGGTTTGAATTGTAACCCATGAAACTGAGTGCCTTTAAGGTATCGCAATACCCTTTTGCAGGCCTGCCATTGAAGCTCGGTTGGAGCTTGAAGAAATTGACTAAGCTTGTTAACTGTGAAGCTTATATCTGGTCTTGTCAAAGTCAAGTATTGTAGAGCTCCAATGGTACTTCTATATAGGCTAGGATCCTTGAACAACTCACTATCAGAGGAAAAAATCTTAGTACCTATAGCCATGGGAGTTGGACAAACATGAGCATCTTGCATTTTAGTTTTGGTCAGTAAGTCACCAATATACTTAGTTTGCTTCAAGTGTGTACCTTCTTCATTTCTAGTTGCTTCTAAACCAAGGAAGTAACTCACAGACCCAAGTGTTTTTTTTTTTTTTAAAAAAAATCACTGTTTAGATTTGCCACAAGCTGTAAAATAGAGGCATTGTCTGATCCAGTAATAAGTGTATCATCTACATAAATGAAAATGTAAAGAACCTGAGTTATTTCCTTAAGAATAAAGAGGCTGGAATCTGAAACTGAATTCTGGAATCCTCTACTCAACAAGGCTTGCTTGAGTTTGTCAAACCAGACTCTGGGTGCTTGTTCGAGACCATACCAGGCCTTGTTAAGTTTACATACATGAGAAGAAAGTTGAGGATGCTCAAACCCAGCAGGTTGACTCATGTAGACTGTTTCACTCAAAATGCCATTGAGAAAGACATTGTTTACATCAACTTGTTGGATATCCCATCCTTTAGAAACATCAAGAGTAAAAATGATCCTAATGGTAGAAGGTTTGACCATTGGACTGAATGTTTCAAAATAGTCTAAACCAAGGGTTTGTTGAAAACACTTTGCCACTAATCGAGCCTTATATTTGTGTAATGAACCATCAACATGATATTTGGTTCGAAAAACCCACTTATTACCAACAATATTCATGTCAGACGTCTTGGGAACAAGAGTCTAGGTTTCATTTTTCATAAGGGCAGTGAATTCATCATGCATAGCCTCTCTCCACTCATTACAAGCAAGGGCTTCATTTACTGAGGTAGGTCCAGGTTGGACACAAAAAGGTGTGGAGGCTACAAGAACAGTTTTGTTTTGATTAGCAAGTTTGGCTTTGTTTTGATCAGCAAGTTTAGCTCTAGTGATCATGGGATGGATATTGGCAAGTGAAGGATAGGTGGCTGGTGTAATTGATGTTGTTGATGTTGTTGAAGAGTGATGTGATTGGGAAGCAGGAAACTGAGATGATGACAAATCAACTACAAGGTATAGGTGGAAAACAAGTGAGATCCACGACTAGAGGACTACCTAGACACTTTGAGATAGATATAGGAGGTTGTGTTTGAGACTTGTGAGACTGTGTTGGAGAGATAGATAATAATGGTGAGTTAGAGGCAGAGGTAAGATACTTAAAGGGTGTGCAATGCTGAGAATTAAGGTTAGAGTTAGAGGTATGAAACAAATCAGGAGATTGACTAAAAATAGGAGTAATGTAATAAAGAATTTGCTTACCAACTGTTGTAAAAGTACAAGGTGAAGAACAGGGCATTGCTGAAGGAGCTTTGTTGCTTGAATCAGTTGCACAATTTATAGAGACAAAAGAGAAACTGGATGGTGATGTGGAAGAAGATGTACTACTGGAGGTTTTATGGGCAGAAAATTGAGAAACTTTAGGAAAACCAGTGGCAAATGGAAATTGTGTTTCATGGAATTGAACACTAGGGGGTCATTTGGATCGGGGGTAAATAAGATAACAAAGGTAATCTTCGTTTATTTTGCAAGATTCCTATGTTTGGTTTGCAAGTAATAAAATATTACAGAAATCTTTTATTGCAAATAGTAGTTATTGTTAATAATGTGGGGGGTAATCTTATTACCTTGTTAGGGGGTGTTATTAAAACATTACCGGGGTAATATGATTTTTCTACCCAATTTGCCCTTAATTAAAAACCATTTCGGACACAATTACCCTCAAATGTTTATCAAATAACAATTAGCCCAACCTCCATACATTTGAGAAATTAGCTAAAAACCCCAACCACAAAAAAGTTTAAAAGTTAACAGAATACCCTTAACCACCCAAGACCACCACTGGCCATGACTCACCACCACCGGCCACCGACTTCAATCACCGTAATGGTGCATGACCGGCGGTATCTGGTTGGTCGTGCGTAGGATGGTCGAAAACGACTAGATTTGGCATTTCTATGGCCGTTTCATGGCCAAAGATCTGGCCTTTTCACGACCAGATATGTGGTCGTTTCATGACCACATCTTTGACTGTGAAATGGCCATAGATCTGGCTATTTTTCGGCTTTGCCGGTGCACGCCCAGCCTTATACCGCCAGTTGTGCACCATTTTGTTGACTGCAAGCGGCCGCCGGCAGTGGTGGCAGACTGCTGGCATTGGCTTGGGGTGGGTGGGGGTAATTTTGCTACAAATTAAAGTTTGATATGGTTGGGGTGATTTAGCAAAATTTCAAATGTAGGGGGTTAAAAGAAATTATTCAAAAAATAATAATAAAAAATACTATTACATTAATATTTAAAAAGGAGGACAATTTAGTAATCTATATAACATACACACCCATTTATCCTCTCAATCAAATATATTATTCACCAATTTACTCGAACCAATCAAACACATTTTCTAAACATTCCCAATAATCTTCAAGGTGATCTTTGTTTCCGTTAATATAATACACACCTATAATAAAACATTATATAATCCAAACGGCCCCTAGGAGTAATAATGATTTTCTCTTCAGCAGTTT